TTGCACTGACGATGGTGGTGTTGGTTTATTGGCTTCGGGGGGCTGGGTTGTTAAATAGTATGGTCACTTTAGTGTTTGGCGGGGTAGCACGATCAGGATGGAAATGGTGAGCACCGGGGCATTGTTATAAAGGAAATAAAGGGTCCTCCAGGAACAGCTTTCGGGCCTTTGCAGCTCAAGGCCAGGAAGGGGTGATCTTCCTTGGAACAATCTGGCTCGGCCTACTTTAGCGGGCCTTTGTGGCTTCTGGGGTGGTGGGGCAGGGGTTCTCGAACATGCCACACTGCTGGTCGAAAGCTACCTTCGGTGGCTTGAGATTGGAGCAAGTGCATCACCCAGAAGGAAATGAAGGTGGTCAGGAGTTTGACACCTGTCATATTCCTCAGTACATTTCTGGTAACCCCTCGCTAGTATTTGTCATTATTAAATAATTAATAGTGCCCCTTGTTAAATCCATATTGGTGTCTGTCTCTTTATTCCAACTGGGGGGGCAATGACATATGATTGTGAACAAAATCCTTTGTAGCAGCCCTCATACTGTATATTCTAGGAACTAAGAGAACCCTTGTGGTCCAAGGGTTCTCCCACTGATGTACAAGGTGGCCATAGGCAAGCCACCCTCTCACAGCTTCATTCCCTCTTCTGCAAGAAGGGAATGGTACTGACCTACCTTGAAATGCTGTTGTAAAGATTTCAATGAGATAATGTATGTGAAGTACTTTTAAATCTCAAAACAATATGTAATGCTATATAATCTCACTGTCACGAACATTTACTACATATATGGCAGGAGCTAGAATTTTTAAGCATGCAAAAATGTTAACATTTATTCATACATAAAGTGAGAAGATACGTCATCTCAGTTACAGAAATGCAAATATACAAAACCTTCAGAAATGTTTAATCAAGGATTGTACTCCTGTGTACATTGAATTAGGAATAAGTCCTATTTAACTCAATTCAGTGGCAATAAGCAAACAAACTAGTTCACAAGTATTTTATGTGAAAGACAGTCTTAACTACTAGGGGATTAGCAGTCATTTCTATATGCCATTCAGTATGTAACATGTTTCACTCTTACAGCAGTCCTATACTGGGAGAAGACTAAGATTTACCTTCTCAGTCAGGTTCAAGTTAAACATGATACTCAGTTGCATAAAATGTTTCCCTGACTGTTTTTAAATATGAAAAGCCCCACCAGGAGGCCACAGTTTTGAGCAGAACCCCATCAAAACTGCTTTCCTCCCTTATCTTTTCTTCTGAGGGTAGGGAAGCAGCCTGAGAGAGGATTCTGAGTGTAGGAATGGAAAGAAAAGATACAAGTGATTCTCTCACTCAACGCTCTGTTCAAAAAGATCGTAGCTTCCAACTGGTACTTTTCATTAAGGGGAAAGGGGTGAATGTTGCACATGATTGACTGCCTCATGTTAAGCCTCCAAGAACTTTATAGTCAAACGTAGACTGGGACTCATAGATTGCCCTACACCCAATTTTGCATCCATTGCACCAAACTTGAAGACAGTCTATAATCTCTGCACCTGGAGCCTACCACACAAATTGGTTTTGTAATTCCTTTACTAGCACAACACATATTTCTTACAGTTGAGGTTTCTCTTTATTTTTGTGGATCCAGCAGAGAATTTATGATCTGAGTTTTTAAAATTTTCTCTTGTACTGCAAATTGCTGCTTTAGAGAGGGTTCCTTTCAGCCTCTTGCTTTCCCTCAAGATTTAATCTATAAAAAGTAGTCAAGACCCACCAAAATCCATGATATTGTTTCCACTGTGAAGGACAGCCTCCTACAAATCACACCCACAAATGAGAGCAATCAGAACTTATGGGACCTGTTAATTGTCTCTTATTGTGCTCATATGGCTCAATCAGAGCTTTCCAAGGCGTACAAGGAAGGTTACTTCAATCAGAAATTAAAGTAACCTTCCTTGTATGCCTTGGAAAGCATAAATATTATTAAATGATATGCATAAATGAATGGAACTTAGCTAATGTTTGAAATACTAATTTAGAGAATTGCAGTTAACTGTCTGCTGCATGATTCCAACAACATGAAACATCATGCTTAAATAACCATGGATTCAGTGGGGGAGCATAAATTTAAGGCCATTTCCAGTTTCTCTGTTACTGGCTTTAAGTATATAAACCTGCTTCATGTTTGTGTATCATATATCATTCACTACATCTTATTTTAAAAGCAATGTGGTATTATTTGATGTTGCAATGAAAGAGGCATCTGGAATAATTAGTCCTATGGATAAATGAAAGGGTAGAGATTCAATCACTGCTTGTGTAGAAGATCACTGGGAACCCTATGTGAACCATCTTGACTTACACACTCGATAGGAAAAGCTGATTATCTATATAGATATAATCAATAGTACTATGAATAGTACCAATATTTAAAGGGGAGGTTCCCTTGCTTTTCAGTCCCAGCATGCAACATTGTAATCAGTCCTTTCAGACAACACTCTATTCTTTACCATCTTGTTACTGCAATCCTGGAAAGAGTTATTCCAGTCTATACCCCAGGGGGACAATATACTAAACATAGGTTTGCATTGTGTGTCTTCAGGGGGCTTCTTCCATTATCCTCTTAAGACCAGTAGAGAGCACTTGCCAGCATGCTCTTTAACATTCCCCCCCTTCCTGTACATTTGCCCCCTTTGCCTAACACCCTACCTGAGGATGAGTTTTGCAGAATTCAAAAGCTTACCCAACACATTGCAAAATCATGGTTGGTCCAACTAAAAGCATTATTATTTGTTATTTCTGAATTGTAAATAATCAGTAGACATAAATAACACAGATATACAAATCAACCTGCAAGATGTTTAGCACTGTATAAATAACAGCATGAAACTTCAAATATCTTTTACTTGAGATCAACGATCTATTATTTTTATTAGTAGAATATACAGAGTTTGTCTCCTTAAGTCTCATGTCATTCTGTGCTGAAAGAGTTATGGAAAGGGGGGCAATGAAAGAGGCAGATCTGTTTCTTATTGATGCAGATCCTCCCTTCAAACTGTGGCTCCCCAAAGCAATTTCCACCTGTTGTTATCAATCATTTCAATAGATGGTGCTGTGCTCTCATTGAAATTGATTCTAATCTCATTTTTCTTAAATGTTAGCCCTGTGTTAGGAGCAAATTGGATTACTTTCCTACCTGACATTCATTAAATAAATCTAATTTAACACCTATAAAAGCAAAACATTTTACATATGACATAAAAGATTTTTCTTCTTTTTAAACAACAAATTAATCTTAAAGCTAAGACAGATGTTCATGCAGTAACTTCTGTCCCGGAACTTACTATGCCTAGTGGAAGAATCTACTTGCTGGCAAAAAATTGCATTCTTTTTGTCTTAATGGGCTTGAATCTTTCTTCATTAGAAAGAAACAGAAAACATTTTAGTATGAAATTCAGAGGGGAGAATGAAGAATAAAGTAATTTGATAAATCAACATTCCCAGTTGATTTAATAGAAAGATTTGGTTTTGCACCGTTTCTGTTTGGCTGATCGTACAAAATTGTCTGAGAGAAAGATAAATAGATGAACTGATCCATACACTACTAAAACTGCAATTCTATACACTCTTCTTTTTTCTTACTTTGGAGGAAGTACTATGGAATACCTTGGTATCTGAAGAAGTTATCAGTGACTCACGAAAGCCTGCCACATATTTTGTTAGTCTTTAAGGTGCTACTGGACCGCTTTCTACTGCTACAGACAGACTGACATGCCTACCCATCTTGATCTATGTTCTTGGGGCTTACTTTTGAGTTAGCAGCACTATTTGTTTTAACCTTAGTTCTGCCTTTTTAAAGGGCTGCTCAGAACTTCACTACATCAATATAATCCTGAGCATACCATGCCCTGCTTTAGACAGTTTAGATCCAACGTGGTGTACTGGTTAGACAGCTGTGCATGGATCAGGGGGACCTTGTTTAGAATCCCTCCTCTGCCATTAAACTTTCTGGGATGATCTGGGCTCAGTCACTGTCTCTCAGCCTAACCTACCTCACAGGGCTGTTGTGTGGACAAAACTATGTTTATGCATGTTGTCCTGAGTTTCTGGAAGGAAAGTTGGCTGTAAAATGTTATACATTTGTAAATGTGGTTATTATTTCAAACATTGTTTGTACCATGGTGAGATCTCCAGTCTGTCTGTGGATATGAGAAATTTGATCCAAAACCATGCCTTTATATTTCTCTCTTACCTGTAACTAGAAAATTATTTTTGTCGCTCAAGAAGAACATTTTCTTTCCTTTAGAAACTATTCTATCCCACTGACCTCCCCCCCAACCGCAGTTTAGTCTCATGATCAGATCTGCTTGCTGCTGTTACTTTCCTTTTTGGTTACAAACCTTCTCTTGCTGCCAGCACAAAGGCATCAGTGCTCACACTGAGAGGTACATGCCTTCTCAATATGTTTCTCCCTCCCACCACCAATCTCTCCATCTTTGTTCCCTTGACAGAAGGAGGCATATTGGGGAGAAAAAGCCAACCTCTGCAGAGGGTGTGTGTGCATCTATGTGCGGGCGCGCGTGTGTGCAAAAAGTGGGAGAGGAAGGGTTATGGCATGGCTCAGACTTCAGTGGGTTACGACTTTACGGTGGTTTAGTCCACAACAGATAAATACCTCCTGTCCCCTCCTATGAGAAGAGCAGTATTTCTGCAGATGACCATGCATGCCTGGAGAAGAATCAGCACCTTTGAAACGCCATCCTTGGAGAGGAGCAGCTCCCAATCAACCCTCAAGTGCAGTCATGAGGGGCCACATCATACTCTTCTCCTCCTCCTCCCTAGCAGCGCCTCATGAGTGCCCTGGGAGGAGGGAGGACACTTAACCTGATAAGGGACCCTTGCCCTTGCAGCTTCACACATCTGAGGGACCCACTGCACACTGCCCAGATCTCTTCAGTCCCTGTCCTTGCCTCCTTGCCTTAACAGCTCCTCCCCCTCTCCGCGTGCCCCCTTACCTGATGATGACATACATGACCAAGAAGTTGCCAAAGAGTCCCACCACGCACACTATGGAGTAGAGAGCCATGATGATGACGGCCGTGACCATGGAAGGGGTGACCCCAGCGCTAGGACACAGGCTGCCCCCTCGTGCCCCCTGGCTGCTGTTGGGGCCGCCGCAGGACAGCTGGGTGCCGTTGAGGTCGCTCTGGTTCCAGAATTCTCCTTCCATGATCCCGGGTAGGTTTCTCCCAAGGGACCGACTGGTCGTAGCGGGTTCGAGCTGCCGCGGGAGAGAAGCTCGCAGGGACTGCAGGCGCCGGAGTGCCTCGCCAGGGAGCTGTCCGTGGTGCTGGCGAGGCAGGCGCGGGGCACGTTCGCAGCGAAGGAAGCCGCGGGCAAAGCAGCCTCCGGGCGCCCGAGTCCCACCCGGGGGACCTTAAAGGAGGGGGTGGGGGCAGCCCTGCAGCTGCCTAGGAGGCGCACCGGACCGAGGGCAGAGAGCAGCAAGTGGGCCGGTCACACTCCGAAGCGAAGGCTCGGAGAAGGCGCCCTTCTGCCGTTGGGTCCCACCGCATCCCTTCCCTGGCGCGTAGAGAGACCAGGGGAGGGAGGGGGGAGCGGAGGGGAAAGAGATAAGCCGGCGAAGGAGGATCGTGCCGAAAGCAATCAAAAGCTTTCCCGTCCCCCAGAGGTGCGCGCGCACACACGTGCGTTCACACAGCTGGCTCTGCCACAAACACGTGTGCAAGTTGGCTGGATGAGCGGGGGGAGGAGGAGCCTTGGTGGAGCGAGGGGGTGGGGTGGAGAGAGGTGCGGTGCTCTTTTTGACTCAACCTGTTCCGTGTCAGCGCAGGGCGGGGGATCATCTGCTTTCAGGCTGGGGGTGAACAGCCACTGCCTCCTCGCCGCAAAGGCTGCGCTCACTGCCGCCTTTCGAAAATGACGCCCTTGTTTTCTAAAAGCCCGCTTGCTTTTGTAAGTTCTTCGAGTACGTGAAAGCATGACTCGAAAAACGATGAAAGGACCAGGAGGCTGAACGGACGGGAGCCACCAGGCTGAAGCGAGGGCGCGGGAGGTTTAGCGACAATTAATACCAAACATGAGTCAGGGAATGCTCCTCTCCGGGATTATGTAACAAACCGGGAAACTTTGCGCTTTCTATTCACGCAGTTCTTCTGCAACAACTACAGAGCATTACTCGGCTGCGAAGTGCTTGCCCATGGACCCGTGCTTGGTTTACTTTGAAGGTGGGGGTGGGGGGAAGGGAAGGTCCGGACGATGTGAATGCGAGCATCAACTGTGTCTTTCCCCCCTCTCTTTAGCCTCCCCCCCCCATCCTGATCCAAAGACAAGCTTGTGGTAACGGGTGGCGCTGTCTTTCTGCCACGGGCGAGTTCAGGGATCTTCAATGTGGTGCCTGTGGGTGCCATCTGCCATGGCACCCGCCAAAACCTATCCTGGCACCCACCAAGTCTTTTTAGAAAGTGGGTAGGACCAGGTGGGGCTTCTGCCCAGCAAGGCTGCTGATTGAGCCTTAGAGAATTGATTGGCAGTGCAGATTCTTTTTTTTAAAAATGTTGCTTGATGGTAAGCTGTGGCAGCTATGCCCCCTGCAGCAACCATGTTGTAGCAGCCATTTTAAAGCTGCGCCCATCACATTGTGATACAGTTCCAAAAGCACCCACCAGCTCTAAAAGGTCGGGGACCTGTGGGCTAGTTTTACTGCCACTGAGCACTTTTCTTAAAAAATGTTTTGAAAATAGCCCCAGCACTAGAGAGAAACACATTTTTCAAATCACTATATCAAATACATGTATTTTAAAAATCAAAGTTAACACCACGTTGAAGGACTGCTGGAGGACAGGCAATTGATGCTGTATGCCTTGTACATAGAATTTAGCATGTACAGGACAGCAATTAAAATAAAGACGCAGATAAGATGGCCCTGTTAAGCAACATTCTTTTTTTGATAGCCAACCATGTCGGCATGTATAAAGTCATTTCTAAGTTTATTAGTAAATGCAGCCACTTTTTGATCAGTCCCCAGATCCTTATCTCCAAACAGCAGCTAATTGTTTTAAAGTATAGATGGAGTAATTAATTTCCCCAGACTTTGAATTATGAAGCACATGTCAATAGACGACATGATAAATCTTCAACTAAACCTCTCTGTTCCTCCAGGTTTTCATTACAACATGTAATGATTCCACCCTGAGACAGATGAGTTCTCCATCACTGGGAGTGACACAGACCCTCCCCCCCCTCACTCAAGTCTGTAAGAAGTATTTATGCACAGGCAGTCACATACACTTACACTTCTTAAATGGACATAAAATAGTTCAGTAGTGGTGGTGGCTAGAGCTGCACCATTAATCATTAGAAATGCCACTGTCCAATAGGAGGCAGCGATCCTTGGACATTCACATTCCATACAGCACTTGCAATAGCAATGGGCTCTCTCGATCCATGGAAGGGGGCCACCCACGGGCCAAATGTACATTGTCTAGATTTCCTTGGAGGAAGAGTGGGGCAAAAGTGAAGTATCTAGACTCACTCCGTTGAGGAACCCACAACCACATCTCCTGGTAAAGTGATCCTTCTCATTTTCAGAAGCTTTTCAGAGCTGTAAATCATTTGATCTGCATATAACCACATCTCGTTGAAGTGAGTGTGGGTGAAATCAGAGCACCCTGTACGGAATCATGTTTGATGGTATTACACCAGCTCTTTACACATATCAGTACTAGGGTCTGTCAAATGGAAATATACAGAGCAGAAGCAGGCACACTTCACATCCCATACTTCAAATGTGCTAGAGAAATCAAGAGCACCTCATAATGATCACTCACATCATATTCTAAACCCCCACTGGGAACATGCACTTTATCACCATATTCTGAGTTACAGAAAGTTCAAAGAGAGTGGCTTTAATTGGCTAGGTCGTACTGAATTCTGTACTTAGCATAAATGACTATTTCAGCCATTTATGAGGGCAGGAAATATTCCCAGCATCACTTAGAGAGCCAGTTTGGTGTAGTGGTTAAGTGCACAGACTCTAATCTGGGAGAACCGGGTTTGATACCTCACTCCTCCACTTGTACCTGGCTGGATGACCTTGGGCAAGCGGTAGTTCTGATAAGAGTTGTTCTTGAAAAAAGAGCAGTTTCTGCCAAGAGCTCTCTCAGCCCCACCTACCTCACAGGGTGTCTGTTGTGGGGAGGGAAAGGGAAAGGAGTTTGAAAGCCGCTCTGAGACACCTTTGGGTAGTGAAGGGTAGGGTATAAATCCACTCTCCTCCTCCTCCTCCTCCTCTTCTTTCTATAAAATTATTCTTCATACAGTGCTTTTGTTTACAACCTAGACTGGTTAAGTGGAGCAAAGAGCTATATTCTGCATCTTTGCTTTACTAGCTGCTTTTACTAATCAAAGCCAGCTCTCTCTTGCCCTAACTACCTCACAGGGTTGTTGTGTGTATGAAATGGAGGAAAACAGACCACTGTACACAGCCCTGAGCTACTTGGGGGGCAAGCAGGATAACGGTGTAATTAATAAATAAGACATATGCTTACTACAAAGGAGATATTATCCCTTAGCCTAGGATATATGTTCTTTTAATAAAGCAAAATGAAGTCATTAAAGACTTCATTCTGCTTACACTTTAAAAGACCACAGGGGGTTGGGGTGAATGGGGAGAGGGGGTAAATTTCACCACGTGTCATCATAGGGGTCTGAGCACCTTGAGCATGAGGGATGAGCTTGCCTGGTCATGTTCATCCCCTCAACCCAAGACAATCACTAGGATAACTTGAGGGTCAAATATGGGGGCCAAGCCTTCATGCCCCAAAGCCATATGGGGCCTGGGCAGCCCACCCTGTAGCCATTCCTCTTTGGCTATGTGTGGGGACATCTGGAACACAGAGGTAGCTGTGGCAGAAGCTTTTTCATCAGCTGTCTCAATGGAACCAAGCATGGGGGGGTATGGGTGAGAAGAAGAAGGGGTGTTGAAAGGAGAAGGAAAAAAACCGTCCTCCTTGCCCTGAACCCCCCCCCCCTAACATTTTGTCTGGTTTCCACCCTGGTCATATCCCACACCTAAGGTCAGACAGTTATCGATTTCTTCCATTGTGTTGTAATAATTTTCGCATTTACATTTTATAGGTGTTATTAAGCTCAATTGGGCAATTTACATGCTGAACCAAACAGTTCTATTTTAAGCTTCTTACAAGTTGCAGGGTCATAGTTTACTCCTGGACTACATAAATAGTGTGAGAGTTTCCCTATAACCTTTACCACTTCATACTCCATTCGTTCTTCTGTAGAAAGAGGCTGATTGTTCTGTGGTGTTTCAGTCTCTCCTCCTTCTTTTCAGTTTGGTTTTTAAAGGTTTCATTAAAATGGCCTCGGGGTCAGACCAATGTAAGTGAGCAGAGAAGAAAAAAACATTACCCACTGAACTACTGCAGGGAAGAGGTTTAAGATAATGATCAGCATGGACAAGGCACTTTCATTTAACCATACACTCAACTCCTTTATTTAGATACTGCAGCTGAGATGTACTGCAGTGCTAACTATTGTCTTTCATGTTTATTCACAAGATCATATGATTGTGAGCTGAAGGAAAAAGGGCATGAGTTAGCAAGCAGGGGTCAGTCAGACCCTAAAGGATAAGCAGTTGAGATCATTATAGACCCCAGATACCATCCTTGTGTAATTGTACCCCAGTAATCAGAACAAAGGAGCTGCGGTGGCTCAAGTGGTTAAGACGCTGAACTGCAGGCTGTGGAAGGTCAGTAGTTCAGCAGTTTGAGACCCGGGTGCCGCATGACGGAGTGAGCTCCCATCTCTAGTTCCAGCTCCTGCCAACCTAGCGGTTCGAAAGCAAGAAATTGCAAGTAGATAAATAGGTACCACTTCGGTGGGAAGGTAACAGCGTTCTGTGTGCCTTGGTGTTTAGTCATGCTGGCCACATGACCACTGAAACGTCTTCGGACAGCGCTGGCTCTTCAGCTTTGAAATGGAGATGAGCACCATAACCCTAGAGTCGGATTCGACTGGCTTTCGAGCAAGGGAACCTTTACCTTTACCTTTAATCAGAACAATAAGCATCATAAAATTTCATGCTTTTGCACTGTACCCTGAAATGAATGCTATACTACAGCACTTCTGTGTGGATACCAAGGGCTAGGACATTTGTCTAGCACATGCTCTTTGGACATGACAACCCTATGC